GGGTACCTTGTGTTTGTAGCTCTGTTCCTGCTTTTCTTGGATCCTCATCTTTGCTTTACAGCATGGCTAAGCTCCTTTTTCTCTGCTACTTCTTGAAGTGGCCCTTTATCAGCTTTCAGTTCTACAGGTGGGGCTTCTGCCAGCCATAGGTTTGTCCTGAAACCCTAATGGACTGTGAGCTTCTGGGAGGCGGCAGATTCTAACTCCTTGGTGTTCTGTGGTGCAGGATGTGCTGCCGAGTAATGCAAGGTGTGATGCTGGAACTGATGCCTCTTTTTCCAGGGGCTTTGTGGTCAGCTGGGGATTAAGTACATTGCTTGGACTCTTAACATTGGAATCGAAATCTTTTTTTTTTTCTCTCTCTCTTTTTCCTTTTTATCGGTACCGGGGATCGAACTCCCGACTGCCTGCTTGCAAGGCAGGCGCTTATGCTGCTGAGCTAAATCTCCAGCCCTGGAATCGAAATCTTAACCACTGTCACTTTGCAGTATTATAGAAGAGGCTCAGTCTAAGCCTCCGTTTCCTCCTCTGTAAAATGGGAAAGTAACAAGATTAAACTTTGCGGTTATGAGGATTGAATGAACCAATTCATGTAAAGCACTTTAGCTCCATGTTTGCGGTATATCTTCAGTAACTATCAGATGCTATTCTAGCTTCAGTAGTAAGCATCGCTGAGCAATTGCTAGCTATTTATTAGATTGTTAGTTTCTAAGTAGTGCTATAAAAATACGCGCCATGGCCTTGTTCTCAGAAAAGATTGGACATGTGCACAAGGATAATCGAGTTCCTCCAGTGAGTGGTTCACTTACGGGCTCAAGAGGCAGGAATAATTGCTAAGCAGAGGAGAATTTTAAGAAGGTGTCAGAACTTGGCTTGAGTGCTGCACGAGTTAGCAAGTTGACGGGCTTCTTGGAGCCATTCTGCATTTCATCTTAGCTCTGTGCTGTGTAATCTTAAATTACTTAACCTTTCTCTTAGGATTGTTGAATTAACAAATTAGTACCTAAAATCTTTTTTTTTTTTTTTTTTTTTTTTTTTTTTTTTTTTTTTTTTTGGCGGTACCCGGGATCATGACTTTGTGCTTGCCAGGCAGGCGCTTATGCCACTGAGCTAAATCCCCAGCCTAAATTTTTATGTTTATTTATTTATTTTTTTAAGACAAGATCTCACTAAGTAGTTCAGGGTAGCCTTAAACTCACTATGTAGCCCAGATTGGCCTGGAACTCATGGTGATCCTCCTGCCTCAGCTTCCTAAGTGCTAGGATTACAGGCATGAGCCACCATGCCTGGGAAAATCTTTAGAACTGTGCCTCAAACACTGTCAGGGCTTGGTAAGTTATGACTAGGCTGAGAGAATGGAGGATGCATTTCAGGAGGAGCACTCGGTGAGGAGGAAGGGCCAGCGCCCTCGTTCCCTTTGAAATGGTGCTGCCAGCTTGGTCAGAGGATGGCTGTTGGGAAGTCGTGGGACATTGCATCGGAGCAGAATTAGACATGATGAAGCCGAGGAGTGGAACATCTCCTCTGTGTGCAGTGAGGGAACCTGAGATTTCTCAGGTTACCTGGCAAGGGTTCTTCTGTGTCTCAGGTCATACTTCGAAGTCTGTGTCTCTAGCATTTCTTGTTAGTTTTGTTGATTTAAGTCATTGAAATTTAGTGAGTTGGGGTGGCACACACCTGTAATTCTAGTACTCTGGGAGACTGAGGCAGGAGAATCCTAAGTTCAAGCCCAGCGCAAACTTAGTGGTTTATGTCTCAAAATAAAAACAAAATGTGGGGGAGGGGGAGGTTACTGGGAATTGAACTGCCTGGCGCTTGCCAGGCAGCTGCTGTGCCACCAAGCTACATCCCTAGCCCCAAAATGAAAAAGTTTAGAACGGAGGCTGGGGTGTAGCTTCATGCGAAGGCTCTGGGTTCCGCCCCTAGTTCCACAAACAACAGCAAAACCCCAAAACTTGTGTTTGAACTGATTTTAGCGGCTCAGTCATCTGCCCTGCGTGGCCATGCCTTTTACTGTGCTCGTTTCTCGCAGTAAAACGTTTTGGCTGCCTTTCTCACTTTCTTCACATCCTAGTTGTTTGCATAAAGTCGTGACTAACTTTCTCAAGAGCTTGGTTCTGCTGCTGTTTTCTTCTCTGTCTTCTAGTCGCACAGACTTGGTTCCAGAAGCAGCCGGAGGGAGACGGAGGAAGGCAAGGGGAACACGCCCTGGTCCCGCGTCTCGGGTCACAGAGGAGGTGGCAGTCGATGCTTAAGATCCACACTAATTACTATCTGGTCTGCATATCGCAGGGCTGTTGTTACTCTCACCTCTGTGCAGTTCTCAACCATCTGAGTGGGGATTTTACATATGCTATCAATACTTTTCTTCCTGTAACTCTTAAACGCCAACATAAAAATAACCTTACTACCAGGAACCACGTGCTGATAATTCACTCTTATGAATGAGTGGCCACGATTGCATTTGTTGGATGAGCACTGCTGTTCCTAAGGTAATGTTTAAAAACCCAGCTCAGAGCGGGCTGGGGATTTAGCTCAGTGGCATAAGCGCCTGCCTTGCAAGCAGGCAGTCGTGAGTTCCATCCCTGGTACCGATAAAAAGGAAAAAGACCAAAAAAACCAAAAAACCCAGCTCACACTCCGAGAAGGGTGGCTGTCACCAAGAAATCAACCACTTAGAAATGCTGGCAGGGCAGTGGGAAAAAAGGAACCCTTCTCCACTGTTGGTGGGTGTGCAGACTGCTGCAGCCACTGTGGAAGTCAGTGTGGAGAGTCCTCAGAGAACAAAAACTGAGAAGCAAGCAAACAAAAACTAAAACTAGGGATTCCTTTCAACCCAGCTGTGTCCCTTCCAGGTGTTTTCCTGAAAGAGTAAAAGCATCACACCACAGTGATGTGTGCACACTCATGTTTACAGCAGCACAGTTCATGATGGAAACTCTTGGAAATAGCCTATACGCACATCAACAGAAGAATGGATAAAGCAGATGTGGTTTTTATATGCAGTGGAGTGCTACTCTGCCATAAAGAAGGACAAATTTGAGTTGTTTTTGGGCAAATGGATATACTTTGAGACTATAATATTAAATGAAATAAATCAGACATACATGCTTAAATATCAAAGGGTAAATAAAGAGAAAAATGGAGGATAGATGTTGGGAAATAGGAAGAATGTGTTCATGCGGAGGGGAGAATGGGAGGGTAAAGGAGGAAGGGAAAGGGAGTTTTAAAAAGAATAGAAGGGGAAAATGGAAACGAAACTTTTGTAAATGGGGAGGGGAATAAGGTTTGAAGGGAGAGGAGGGGAATGGAGAAAAAAAGACTAAACATGCAAAGGTACAAATTTCCTATGATGCATGTGATCATTATGTATGGCAAATATGTATGAACAAAAATGAATTTAAAAACCAATACACAGTCGGTGTGGTGGCTCACGCCTGCATTCTCAGCATTCAGAGGGCTGAGGCAGGAGGATCACTGAGTTCTAGGCCAGCCTGGGCTCCAAGGCCTGTCTGAACTGCACAGCGAGATTATAAACAAATAAACAGCACCACCAACACTCAGAAACCAGCTTTGAGAAGAAAAGGCTTGCTTCATTTGTAGAATTATAGCAGTGTTTTAAAAGAAAGTGCACTTCTGAAAAATGCGCCTCTGGCCTCCAGCGTGGGGGAACACGGAATCTCTTCTGGAGCTCTGGCGTGACAGCAGGAAAAGCTGGGCACATTTTAATTCTCACCTTGCGGCCCCGACTCCCGCTCGGTTGCAGTAATCTGCACGCTTGCGCCGCTGGTCTCCTTCCGTGCCGCCTTGGAACGCACCGAGCATCATGGGGAAACCGCGTGCCCGGCTCTGCGTCGCGGAGGCCGCCGTGCACCCCCTGCGCCGCGGGCCTGCCGTTTCCGCCGCAGGTGCGCTGTGGTAGCAGGCACGAAAGGTCAGCGGCTTGGCTTGGGGTGGCCACGCCGGCTGCCCAGAAACACGCCCTGCCCTTTGTATGGAGCAAGTGTTTCTTCCTCATTCATAAATACTGGCAGTTCCCCGTCGCTGACTGACCGTGGCATCGCTGCTTTTCTTCCTTTGAAATGTGTTAACAGCATGATAACTTCTCTTCATTTCGAAAATTTGCACAGTATACAAATACTTTTTAGTCCCTGTAAGCATAATTTTATCATGAATCATGATAAAAACCCTGTTATGTATTCTTTCTCATGATAAAAGAAAGAGAAAGTGGCCTAGGTTACATGAAGATGTCCCAGACCTCTGCAAATTCTGCCACATGTCTTCCCCGAAAAGCAGGCTTCTGGACCACGTTTATTTTTACTTAGGTACTGATTTTTCCTTTATCATTTTTTTAAGCACCGTGAAGTTGAATCGTATAGTTCCCAAATGTCTATACTACAGTGTTTTTTCGTGTCTTGAATGGCTTGTATCAGATTACTTATTTGTATTTCCAACAGTTTGGTTTTTTTTTCCTAAATTTTATTGTTCTGAAGGGGAAGAGGGATTTGTTTTTCTTCTTCTGATCTGGTATTTGTTTGCCATTTAGATGGTCACTCTTGGATCACATTGTATCTTTTAATCTAAGAGAAAAAGATGCTTAAAATTTGGGGTTTTTTGAGGTATGTGTGTGTAGAGATAGGTTTGTCTTCACCTCTTTGTGTAATTATGGGAATATGTTTCTCTTTTTAAAATATTTTATGTTGGATCATTTTATTCTTTGTAAAAAATCTAAACTATAATTGTTGCTAGCCTTTTATGTAGAAATATAATACATTTTGTTAATTTTGTTTTTAGACTATTAAGATTTTATAATTTAATTTCTTTAGGTGTTAACTAAACAATTCGTATTCCAAGAAAGAATACATTTTTGTCATTTTTATTTTAAATCTATACTTTTTGGCTACCTACTATTTATTGCCATTTTCTAATTTTTGTTTGCTTCTCCTAAAAGAGAGAGGCACTTTACTGTTATGCCATGCATACTTTTTATTTTGAACCAGGGCCTCCTGCCTGCTAAGCAGCTGCTCTGCCGGTGAGCTGTTCCCAGCCCGTACGTCGCCTTCTAGACCAAATAGAATCATCTCTTTTCTCCTTTTGATGTGAATATATTCTAGATCATGGTAAGTTTTTGCTAAGTTTTGGGCTAGATTTGTCAGTTTGAGTTCTTTTCTCCTTGAGTTTTTGTCCACTGAATATCTCACTTTTATTCCCATTTAACAAACTTTTTGATAGTACCACATGCTAAACATTTTTGTGTATATGTTTATTTCTAAATGAGTGTGACTGGGTTTTTCCTCTTTTTCTTAAATCCTAGAGTCAGGATTTTTATATATAGTCTACTTTGTATCTAAGGATATTGATGATAGTATGTGAGCATTTATTGCTTTATATGAGTTAACTTTTACAACAATTATCTAGCTTTTCCAATTTTGTTAGTAAATGTAGGAATTTGACATTTTTAATCTTCCTAATCCAGCGTCCATAATTTATCAATTTAACTTTTGATCCTTATCATTTTATTCTTTAATTTTAAAAATCTATTTTTTTCTGAAAGAGTAAAATAACAGGGTATGTACTGATGTGAAAGTAGAAGGTTTAAGTCATTAGTTTTCTTTTAATTTGTCATCACCGAAGATTGCATATAATTAATATGAAAAAGACCATTAAAAACAAAGTCAGAAAACAAGCCTAAGTCACTTGGGAAATAATGAGCAGGATGAGGAAATGGGAAGAAGACATCTTTACACCAGTTATCTGAGGAAAGATAGTTTCTGTGTTTGAACATTAAATTTAGCTCTGAGCTTCCTGGTAAGCAAGAGAAAAAAGGAAACAGGATGGGTTCTTAGTTACTGTCTGAGAAAGAACGTTTATCTGTTTTTCAAAGAGAAACATTTTCTCAGTTCTGAGTTATAAAAGAAGTTACACGAATTCTTATGTAAAGATAATTTATATTTCCATTTTTATAAATAATCAAATGTCTGCTGTTGTTAGCTGTTGTATACTGTTATATGCATTATAATTTTATTTGCTTATACTAAGTTCACAACCACTGTTGTCAAAAGTGGAAATACCATAGCTGTGGTGTGTTTATGTATGGCCTCTACAATTCTAGCCTTTGACGAACAGGAAACTGAAAGCTAACAGTTCAGGAAATGTATTGTATTTAGTGTGTATGGAAAAATGTATGTGATACTTGACTGGCGAAGTCCGTGACAGTTTCAAGAGTGAAACCTTTACGTATTCAAAGATGAATGTTAAGGATTCTTAAACCACTGCTGTCAGATGCTTAACAATGATAATAGATACAGTATGTACATTCTAGGCCAGGGACATTGTGCAACAGGAGAAAAAGATGCAGCGGATTATTGTATGTGCTCAGCTGTATTCTTTAAGGAGATGAAACAGCTGGCAATCCGCTGAATTCCTTACTGGTGTTTTAGAGAGTGACAGAGTTTTCGTTTTAGTTTAGTTGCAAGGAAAAGAGAGGCCCCTGTTTTCCCTGGTAGGAGGCTCTGATGGTTTGTTTGTTTCCTTGTATTGAATGCAACTTAATTTTCCTATAACTTATTAATAGTACTCTATATTCTCTTAGTATTGAAAAGATTAATTGATCAGTGTTATTTAAAAAGTTGTATGTATCTCATATTTTCTTCAGGATGGTGACAATTTTAGGAACCTCAAAATACTACCTATACAAGTCTTTACTTTTAAAATTAAAAAATATTTCTGTTAGAGGAGAAGTGATTATTGGATACCTTTGATAGACCTAAACCTTCTTATTGTTTCTAGATTTAGCTGTTTTAACAGGATACTATGTAAATAGGCTTAACATTCTTACTGCAACCTTGTGTTTTTGTTGCTGTTTCGTTGTTGCATATTTTAACAAAATAGGTAAATTACTACTATTTCACTGCAGTTTTATGATTTGAAATTATAGTCACAAAATATTTAGGGCCTAGATCAAGTGAAATTTTTATACAGTTTTCTGTAGGAATTTTAGCCGTATTATACATGAGTAATTATTATATCATCATCTAAGTTAAAATCTCTTGTCAGGATTGACTTTGGTTTGGATGTTAGGACCTCACACTCAGCCCTGAACACAATGGCAGGGGTGGGCGTGGGCAGCGTGGGTGCCAAGTGCAGAGCCCCAGGCCGGCCCAGGGGAGTAGGGCTTCCCAGAGGAAAGTCCTGGACCGCCCCTCGGAGGCAGTAGTGGCCAGGGGGCAGTGGGCCGCCCTGCAGTGGCTGCACTGTTGATGCCCTGGAGGTTCCACAGACTTTCTTCTCTTCTATTAAATACTCATTGTAGGGAAATTTAGGAAACAAATCAGCAAAGAAAATAATGCCTTCCTGTGACACTGTTTGTCCTTTTTGAATATTTTTACCTAGTTTCCCTAAACTTTACTAGCATCTGGATTACTTTATGTCCACTGTATTTGAAAAGGTGATTTTTGAATTTTCTTTCCATGAATTATGCTTCTAATAACTAGAAATTGTAAAAGAAATAGTTGTTGAAAATGTTAAAGTCATCACTTTTGTTTGATATGATTGTGTTATTGCTGTCACCTGCGTGAGGCACCGCGGCGTTGTTCACAGGCACAGTGAACCACAGACTCATCCGTCTGAGTGGTCCTTAGGTGGGGAATAGGAAAAATGGGGACCCGCAGGCCTTTCTCTAAGCTCTTTGGGGGTGAGGGCAGGTCCTTCATGCTCACCATTATGTCAGTATCTACAGTAAGTTTCCGTAGGGATTGTTGAGTGGGTGTGAGTTTCTCTGTACCTATGTTTAGTAGCTTGCATTTCCTGTACTGTGGATAGTCAAGATTTAATTATGTTCATCTGAAGTTAAGAGCCTTTGTTATACTCAGCCATTTCTTTCATTAATGATTTTTACAAGATATATGTATGTACACAAAGAAAATGACAACTTCTTCTGTATCCAAATTCTATTTCCAAGAATTAATGGTTTAGGTCAGGCGTGGTGGCACGTGCCTGTAATCCCAGCACTCGGGAAGCTGAAGCAGGAGGATTGCTGCAAGTTCAAGGCCAGTCTGGACAACATGGTGTCACAAAAACAAAAAATTTAATGGTTTGCTACTTTTCTTTCTAGATATTTTCTCCACATTTACCAATGCATATGCATTCTTTATACAAGTAGAATATTTGCCTTCTGTTCTATAAATTTTTCCTTCATGCCATTCTTTTTTTTTTTTTTACTTGTTTTTGTCTTTCGTTTTTATCAGTACCAGGGATCGAACTCACGACTGCACACTTGCAAGGCAGGCGCTTATGCCGCTGAGCTAAATCCCCAACCCCTTTCATGCCATTCTTGAAGGTCTTTCCTTACTAATTCATATATAGCTATTTCTTAATTTTAACTGCTGTGTAATTCCCATTGTGCAGATGAGCAGTAAAGGCCTTTATGGAAATTTCCCATTTTTTCCTGTTACGGTAGTGGTGTTTAACAGCCATTTCATATATTTTTGCTTGTTTGTGTAACATACCTATAGCAATTTCTAGAAGAGTGTTGCTGTGATAAAAGAGTTTTACTGTTTCATAGATATTGGCAAAATTGCCCAAAAGATATTCTGCCAGTTGCCCTTGCACTGAGGCTAAGAAGTACTATTTTCTGATAGTGTTTCCGTGGTCACTCGTGTCTGATCGGACCTCCGACCAGAGGCTGGGCAGGATCGGCGTGTGGAGCGGTCAGGGCGCGGGCGCGGGAGTCTGGTGGGTTCCGCCGTTCGGGGCCCAGGTCCGCCGGTGCCTCACTCCTCCAGCCTTGGCCGCACTGTCGGGGAGCAGCAGTGCCAACAGTGCGCGTGGCTCAGGGTTACGAAGAGGCCCCGTCACCGAGCCTTCCTCGTGGTGAGGAAAAACAACACCTCGCAGGATTTCGGCTCTCTTCTGAGGAGAAGTAGGGAAAGAAAGCATTTGCTTGGAGACCTGAAGGAAGCAAGCGAGCTGGGCAGCTGTGTGTGTGGGGGCAGGTGGAGGGGCAGCAGGCGCTGCGCTGGGGGGGCCCAGGGGGTGCTGAGCAGAGCGGTGGGCCCGGGACCGGCAGGTGGGGCTTCAGCCCGGGACGGACTTCGGGTTTAATCTGTGTGACAGGGGAGCCCTGGAGGCTTGCCAGCATCGGTTTTTCAAAAACCAGTTTGATTGTCACAAATGATTCACTTTTCTGTTGCCTTTGGAATAAAGTTCAAATACTTTATTCTGGCACACAGGGTTCTTTATTGTCGGGGCTCTGCCTGTTTATTTAGCATCATCTGCCTCCCCCACATGTACCGTCCCTTCAGCCAACTGGACCCCATACAGCTCCCTCGGTGGGCCACGGTGATTCATGGCTTCGTGTTTTTCCGCACAGTTTTGCCCTGTGAGCAGCTCTCCACTCTGCTGACGCAGTGCTGGCTCCGTTTAGAGGGTCCTCTCTGTGCTCTTGTTCTCTCCGCATTCCTTCTGCTGGGCACTTTGTCCCCAAGCCACAGCCTCGGAATGTGGTGTGCTCTTTTTACCAGTCTTGATTTTACTCTCACCACACCCTTGCCAGTTGAAATTACGTCTACCCTTCAGATACTAGCTGGAAACACTGTTGTCTGTTCCCTCTCTGGCCACTTAGAAGCACTTTATAACTCTTGTACCTCATCATTGCTGCCTTGAATTAAAATGTTCCTTTGTCTGACCTCACAAAAAGGCCTTGGCCTTCCTCCTCTCTGTTTTCTCTGCATCCTCTTGTGGGCTTTGTGCACATTTCCTGTTCAAGAGGTTTCATGTTGTGCAGGATCAATAGAATAATTAGAAAACTATTGGCTTTCAAGCTACTAAGAGCAAAACTTAGAATGAACAGTTAAACTTAGAATGAACAGTTAATTTAAATGAGATACTTGTTCCATTAACAAATTTACTATACTGTGGACAGGAACCCTCAGTGTTTTTACTTACAACTATGGCACCAGAAATTCGGTACCCATTATGGTGAGGTATATTCAGACACATGTATACTTGTTTAGCTCCCCTTGGCTGTGATCAGAACGCTGAAATAGTCAACTTAGAAAGAGAACAGACTTTCTGATTCACGGTTTCAGAGGTTTCAGTCTCTGGGCACTTGGCTCCCTTG